ACACATGCTCTCCGAGCGGCCCTCGCGGTCGCGGGGCTTGTTGTGGGGCTGGACCCCGGAGATGACAGAGGCGGGAGGTGTCGAGTGCTAGCTCCCTCCCTCAGGGAAACCCGGGGCCGCTGCTCCTCAGGAACCATTCAGAGTGAGGCCTCTCAGGCTCCCGCCCGGGCGCGAGGGGGACCTGGCTGGTGCTCGGCCGGGGGTGAACGCGAGCCCGGCGCTCAGCACCCCCGCGTGTTCCCCCAGCTCGAGCAGCACTGAGGTGGGCAGAGGACACAGGACGCCTCCTGTCGGCGACCGCGGGCCGAGAGGGAACGGCCGCAGACAGACCTGACAGAGGAGGAGGGCAGTAACGTGAAAACGGGGCTGCTTCTGAAAGGCGTTATCTGTCCTAGAGAGCCTCTTAAATTTTCCTGTGTCCATGAAGTCGTGCGCTTGTGTTACCATTTACGCAAATATTTGTTAGGTGCGTTTGCTTTTATGGCCACAGTTACCATTTGAAGGAACAGACGTCCCCTGTGAAAAGCTGACATTAGGTCTCATACTTTTCGGATAAGGGTTTAGTGGGAGGTGGTTTATGAAGGTAGTCTAAAACCCTCGGGTTTGAGGGACCCAGCAGAGCTAGGTTGTACCTTCTGACGGGCGACATTCTGTGGAGGTCCCTGGTGCTTTGGTGAGCTGTGTCTCATAAAAAGTGGAACATCTCATTCCGTAAAGGAAGATGTTAGATTGACCTGGCTTAATTAATTTTTTGCTATTTCTGTACCTTGTCTCAGAATCTGTGGCTAGGAAGTTTTGGCTGGGCTATATATTTCCTCGATTGGGAGAAAATGGGGGCAAGAAGGGAGAGATTTAGCTTTTATATAATCTTAAACCTTAAATATGTCTTGATTATGCTATCGGCCTTTTAAGTAGATGTACTTTAAAAAAAATTTTTTTTAAACTTCCGAGGGCTAGAAAAGCTATTCTGCCAATCAGCCGTGTTTTTTTTTTTCACCTGTATATAGGCATAATTAACAGTCCTCGTTTTTAGACTCTTTGGATATAATTCTGAACTTAATTTTAGCATCATAGATATTAACAGAGGCGGTGTTTGTCTGAAAGTAACCTATTGGCCAAGTGTGGCTGAGTGGACTGAGCCAGACCTAGAGCCTCATGTTCCCCACGAATCTGTTGACCTTGTGGTTCTGTTATTTTTTTCTCACTTACCTTTGCCTTTACTACTTTTCTACGTTTTTGCGCAGCTTGCTCACTTCCGACAGAGAAAAACAAAAGGTGACTGTGCGCATTCGAAGAAAAAGACGGCGAAGAGGAAGGGCTCGACTGTCGATGCGCCTGTCCAGGAGGAGAGTCCAGTAGCCACCAAGGATGGCGGACTTCTTGGAGGAAGGGACGTTTGCAAAAGCACATGCAGCGACACCCCTGATGGCACAAGAGGAGCATTTGTGGCACAGGTAGATTTATTTGGTGTTGTGTTTTTTTTTTTCCTTTTTGTCTTTTTTCGTGACTGGTAACAGGATCGCAACCCTCGGTGTCGCGCCCGTACTGCGACCGGCAACGGGATCGCAACCCTTGGTGTCGCGCCTGCACCACGCTCAACCAGTGAGTGGACCAGTCTACATATCGGATCCGAACCCTCGGCGGGAGCGCTGCCACACTCCCAAGCACCGCACTCTACCGAGTGCGCCACTGGGCCAGCCCATATTTGGTGTTGTGTTTTAATATTTTGTTTGTCTTCTTGTTATTGCTAGTGTAATTTACTAAAAAGGGTCTTTGGTCTGATTTTACCCTTCAAAAGTGGTGAAAGAGGGTTGGTGAGTAAATTTTTATAATTTTAATCTTAATAAATGTTTTATGTTTATTATATGATTTCGAGAAATTTTGGATTGACTGCTTAAAGGCAAGTATCAGTATTGGTGCTTGCTTTGGCAGTGGAAGTTTGTGTGAGTGGGTTGGTTGTGTGAGAGTTTTTTGGGTGTGGTGTGTATCAGCCCCTTTGACAGATCTTTCTCTGGACACTTAACATAATATTTCTTCACTTACTCTCAAGTGCAACCTGCTTGTTGTCTTTGTCTTTTACCTTCTTATGGAAGGTGGGGTGAGGAAGGAAGGGATGAAGGTGTGTTGCTAGAGAAGGCTGGTGGTCTGCTGCGGCCCTGGAAGCTGTAGAGGAGCACCCCCTACAGGCAGATGTGGCAGGCAATTGGACATTGAAGGTGCTGTCCCTCGTGGTCTCTTTGGGGACTCCAGACTTACCCTTAATGTGGTTTTTCCTTGGGGCTGCTTCTTGTGTGGATTATAGCTGAGGGGCCTTGAATCTTGAGTATACTGGTTGTGTGCAGTAGGGCAAGTGCAGGTTTAGGTGTTTGCTAGGATGAGCTGGAAAACTGGTGGCCCAGGGCAGAATTTGGCTCCAAAGTCATAGTGTGTCTGACCTGCCTTGCTGAAAAAAATGGAATTGTTGCTAGCATGTAAAATTTGTGATAGTCTACCTACAAATCTGGAATTTTGCTTCTTTTGAAAAGTTGGAAGACCTTGCTATGTTGCTGCTATGTTCCCTGGGGACCAGCTGGCTGGCATGCTCTGGTGGCCAGGCCTGTGGACCCACCTGGGCCCAATACATGGTGCCTCCAATCCTGTCATCTCTAGGCCCGAGGCTGGTTGCCAGTTGCCATTCATCATTGTCCTCTTGTTGTTCTTTCAGAAGAGAGTTCTCGGTATCCCTGTTTGGTCACAGCTGAGGAAATGAGAGCTGTGTTGAGAGGTCCGAGTACTTACTCCTAGTGGCTTTTCTTTACATGTTTCCTGCCTAGGCTCTTAAAGGAGAAAAGCTCATAGTGTATAATTAACATTTATTACTATTTTTAAAAATTTTCAAATCAGAGAAGTCTTTTTATAATTTTAAATAACAATTTTGTAATTTTTAGCTTTTCATTTTGAAATAATGTCAGACTTACAAAAAGTTTGTGGAAAATAGCAGCGTTCTTGGATACCCTTCACCCATCTTCATGAAATGTTAACATCTTATGTAATCTTAATATAATTATCAAAATCAGTTTCAGTTAACATTGAAAATACTATGAGCTAAATTGATAGACCTTATTCAAGTTTTACTTTTTGTCTCATTAATGCCCTTTTTCTGGTGCAGGATTCTGTATAATAGTCCCCCTGATCCAGTTTCAGTTACCCAAGGTCAACCGTTGTGCAAAAATATTAAATAGACAATTCCAGAAGTAAACATATGTTTAAAATTGTGCACCATTCTGAGTACCGTGATGAAATCTTGCACTGTCCTGCTGTCCCATGTTGTTCGTGTTCAAGTACCTCTTGTTTTACTTCATAACGGCCCCCAGAAAGGACAAGAGTAGCAATGCTGGCAATTTGAATATGCCAAAGAGAAGCTGTAAAGTGTTTCCTTTAGTGAAGAACTCAAAGTTCTTGACTTAATAAGGAAGGAAAAAAGTTGTATGCTGAGGTTGCTAAGATCGACAGTTCTGTGAAATTGTGAGGAAGGAAAAAGAAATTTGTGCTAGTTTTGCTGTTGCGCTTGAAACTGCAAAAGTTATGGCCAGAGTGTATAAGTGCTTAGTTAAGATGCACAAGGCATTAAATTTGTGCGTGAAAGACATGAACAGAAACGTGTTCTGGGGGCTGACCGGTTAGCTCAGTTGGTTAAAGGATGGTATAACACCAAGATCAAGGGTTTGGATCTCCATACCAGCTAGCTGCCAAAAACAAAACAAACAAAACCAACAAAAACTGCATTCCAATTGATGGCAAGGTTTCAGGCACCAGTTGGGGGTCTTGGAATACATCCCCAAGAATAATAGGAGACTACTGTATTGCTTTTTAACAGTATGTCTCAGTTTCCTACAATCTGGGACAGTTTCTCAGTTTTCCTTTGACAGTTTTGAAGAGTACTAGGCAGTTATTTTGTAGAATAACTGTCAGTTGGGTTTGTTGCATGTTTCCTCACGATTAGATTCAGATCATGTGTTGTTGGAAGAACACTATGGAAGTGATGATGTTCTCTGTGCGTGTTGTTGGTACTTGATATGTCTTTGTTACTGATGATGCTACCTTGATCACTTAGTTACTGTGGTGCCTGCCAGGTTTCTCCTGATAGAAAAATTACTATTTTTCCCTCGTGGTTAACAAGTATATTGTGTAGCGACTCTGCAAATATCTTTATAAGTATATATTTCATACTTAGAGACTCTGCAAATATCTTGATCCTCATCGTACTTTCTTCGATCAATTTTAGTTTCCATTGATTATTCTTGCCTGAACAATTATTATGGTAGTTATGGCCAGATGATGACCTTTGATTTCCATCATTCCAGCTACATGTACTAATTGGCATCCTACTGTAAGGAAGAGCTGTTGCATCTCCCAATTTATTTATTTATTCAGTTATTTACTTTTATGTTAGTATGGACCCATGCTGGACTCAGTAGGGGTATTTATTTTATTCTATGGGTTTTAACCCATCATATAAATATTGATTTTGTTGTTGAAGTACAAGATTTGGCCATTAGGAGCTCTTTCAGATTAGCTTGTGTGTCCTTTCTACATGCCCTCCTCGTTTTCTGAGTACTTACTTACTTTTTGGCACCAGGATTTTCCTGGCTTTTTTTTTGACCTTCCCCAGCTGCAACCCTGGAATCAACCATTTCTTCCAGGAGTCCTGTTCCTTTTTGTGGAGAATAGTCTTTCGAAACCAAGGTGTGGGTGCTCAGTGTGCTTACTGCTAATGGGGTGTTATTGCTTCTGGGCTATTTCAACACACAGCTAGGAAATGTAAATGTGTGTGTGTGTGTGTGTGTGCGCGCGCGCATTTATATCTAGCTCTTTGTCCATCTGTTTATTTGTATGTATATTAAAAGCCATGAGTTCATACTAATACTTTCAACTCTAAGCTAACATAGAATTTATTTTAGCTTTCCCACTTTTCTTATTTTGATCTCCTTTTTCTGATAGTAGAAACATGGCTGTCTTTATCTACAATATATTTACTTCTTTGCTCAATCCTAAAATACAAGGGTATTTCACAAAGTTTGTGGAAAAATAGAATTAAAATATAATACTAATCTTTCCATAAACTTTTTGAAGACCCCTTGTACAAATTAGGTTCAGGATTGCTAACCCACACCCCTGTGAAAAATAAATTTACTAACTAGAGTAAAATATTTGTGTGCAGTCCTTTTTCTCTTTAGGTAAAGTACATAGTGAAAATGTTGTGTTCTAAAGTTATTTTGATTAGTTCTTTTATTCCTTACCTCTTTATTGTAGCTATTTTATTCATTTGTATCACAGTTTCATTTGTTTTATTGTTCGTATTCTATTTTGGTTCTTCTTACATCTAAGGTGATTTTATTTAATTATTTTCTGACTGTGAAATATTGCCATAGTTGTAAAAATTAGAGCTGTACTCAGAGAATGTTGTTTCCTCCTTTGCCCTGCTACCCATTGCTATCTCTCATTCTTCTTGTCCCATTCCCCCCCCCACCCCGGAAAAGGAACAGTCTCTTTAGTTTCTGGTTTATTCTTCTTGTATTTCTTTTTGCATAAGGGAGTGAATTCAGGTGTGTTTTTATATCCCTTTTATATGCGAAAGGTAGCATATTGTAGATAATCTTTTACACTTGGCTTTTTTCCTGTAATAATAGACCTTGAAATTACTCCGTATCAGTTTGTAGATAACTTCCTCATTTATTTATTTTTTTTATAGCCATTTAGTATTCCTTTGAGTAGATGTGCCGTAGTTTATTCAACCACTCTCCTGTGAATGGGCATTTAGGTTGTTTCTAGAAGTTTGCTTTACAAACAAGGCTGAGGTGAATAACCTTGCATATGTAATTTTGGGTCATTGGAGGTGTATTTTCAGGTTAGATTCCTAGAAGTAGTCAGAAGGTAAGTGCATATGTAGTTTTGTTTGATATTACCAAATTCCCCTCCATAAGGGCTGGGCCAGTGTGGATTTTCATCAGGTAAGGGTGAGAGTGCCTGTTTCCATGTAGCCTTGCCAACACAGTGTCTTGTCATGCTTTTTAATTTTTGACAGTCTGATGTATGGTTTTATTTCTTTTGGGCCAGATCTTGGGACTAGTATGGTGGGAGTCTGTGGTAGGCATGTATTTAACTTTTTAAAAACATGCAGAAACAATTTTCCATTTTTGCATTTCCACCAGCAGTGTTGAGAGTTCCACTTACTCCACATCTTTACCAACATTTGGTATGCTCAGTCTTCAATTTTAGTCCTTCTAAGAGGGGTGCAATGGTATTTCATTGTGGTTTTTTTTTTTCCTTTTTGTCTTTTTTTCGTGACTGGTGGGATCGCAACCCTCGGTGTCGTGCCCGTACCGCGACCGGCAACAGGATCGCAACCCTCGGTGTCACGCCCGCACCGCGCTCAGCCAGTGAGCGGACCGGTCTCTATATGGAATCCGAACCC